TGTCTTAGACCCTCCAACTATCAAATTATGAATAAGAATATTTGGTAACACTTTATTTGATGGGGTGTGCATAAGACTGACATTATTTTCTAAAAAAAAAATTACACTTTAATGCAAAGTTGGGACTTTTAATGGACTTTCGATGCAACTTTTAGAGCATTGAAAGTGCTCTAGAAATGACACTTGCACTAAAAGTGTCATTATTTACCGAATGATGCTTTATGACAACAGTCATAAATATTCATGAAGACTTATTCATGTTCATGACAGATGTTATGTCGTGTTTATGACAGTGTCACGTCAGTCTTATTCACACCCCGTCAAATAACGTGTTACCCAGTTTTTGTTTTTTTTTCTAATTACCCTCGTAGTAGTTGGAAATAACCCTAGAATCTGCTACCCAAATAGAACTTTTAACTTAAAGTTCATTAAGCTGCTCTTGTAAAGTTTAAAATGCTGCAGGCTCAGAGAGGAAAATATGCAGTTTCAAACTCATCTGAGTGATGGAGGTCAGGCACCCTCCATCACTAAAATATAAAGAAATTATACCACAACTTTCACATAAGGAATTCAACCGTAGGCCGCAGACAACAGCCTCTACAGCTGGACTTCTCTCATCATGTGTCCCCTGATCTAATGGCACAACAAACAGTTTTTGTCAGAGATATATTGGTTGTCAAATTTAACAGTTAAATTTACAATTAGAACAGGTCCCATAATGTTTGGAGACGGATAAATGTTATAGTGCTGTAGTGTAACTTGATTTAGATTGATGTTATAACCAGGCGAATCCTCACTGCTTATTTGCACACTGATAAGACCTTATTTTCATCTTACCTTTTAAAAATGCATCCAGCATTTAGCTTATTGCGGTTGTGAGTTATGCTTTGTGTTCAGAAGAATTTTGTGTAAGAAACAACAATGACTTGTTTTTAATTGAATACAAATTCCATCTCACATACTTTTAAAAGTCGTTGCAGTTTGAAGTGATAAAAATTTAAAAAGTGTGTGAAATGTAGCAGTTACAGATGTAACATCTCGTATTGTAAGGGACAAAAGATTTTAAAATGCAGCCAAGAGAAAAGATGGTAAAAAAAAATAAAAAAAATAAAATGACAGTCAGACACCTTCTTTATGCTTTGAAAAGTAAGCACTAGCTACCTAAATGTGCTTTTTTATTATAGGGCTCAGAAACTTACATGTTTTTTAAAGGCAATGAATGACCACCTAAAGGAGTTATGACTTTGCGCAGTAAAACATAGCAGGCAGAGAAATGCTGCATTGTACTTGCACAGTGAACTGGCATGACAACAAACTCCTGCAGACTCTTTGATCAGGTGCAGGGTGGATGCCTCAAGGCAATGGCGATGGACCCAGGAAAGGTGGCCTGAAGCCATGTAGAGCAGAAGAATACTTTCATTTGTCATCTCAGAGGAAGCCAGACTCTGAGATCTCTCAGAAAAGGCAAGTCCTTGCACTTTGTGAGCTGCCTCTTTGTTAGATGACAGAACAAAAGAGAGACTCCCTCAAGAAGCAGGAAAAGGGGAGCAGCATGTGTTGAGACCGCAGGGTGTGAGGGGGTCTTAGGGCCTGGGCAACTCAAAACAGAGACGCAGTTTTCATATCCTCACAGAGATGGTCCATTACTTGCTCCAGCACAGTGGCCTGTGTTTGTTTGGCAACAAATTGCGTGAAATGGACCAAAAAGTGAAAGTACGAAGCAAGAAAATGGACAGATGGTCAGATGAGATAAGGAGACAGAGTGATTAGGGCAGCCGTCTCAACAAATAGACGTAATGATGTGGCAGACGGCCAGGTGTTGAAAGTGAGGTAGCTTGGGCCGGCTGCTATAACTCAGGCTGCGTCATGTTTAGTTTCTTGCCAGAAGACCCAGACTATACAAGCTATAGTATCAGTGCTGCACCAACAATACCTGTTCACCGCCGTCATCGTAGATTATTTGAGGTTATTAATGAGGCATGACATTTCATGCCACAAGGTTTTGCATGAGTGGCAAAAAATTTGCCCTCTCATCTCATGTGAATATCATTGGCAGTTTTTAAAAACCCAAAAAACTGACACATTTTGTGCAACAAACTTTACAAAGGGATTAATCAAAACATCCGCAGTGTAATTTTACAAACTTGCAAAAAGTAAAGAGAGCAAGTTGGTTTGTTGTAGTTCGTAGCAAGTGGTGAAAACCTGGGTCAAACTCACAAATCGATTTGATCCGTTTTTCACAATTCACAGCATCATTTGTGCACATGATTTACTACAGTCATGATTCCTCTAAATATATGAATATTTATGTTGTTTTTGTTTTTGTTTTTTTTATGTAGTTTCTTTATATATAGCTTTGGGAAAAATTAAAAGACCACTGCATTGAACCCCATTGGAAACCTCCTGGTTATTCCACCTAATATTAATTTCTAAACTCTTCCTGCATTAAAACATTAATATTGTTTCTAAATGAATATGAACTTGTTTTCTTTACATTATGTGAGGTCTGAAAGAATTGCATCTTTTTCGTTATTTTGACCATTTCTCATTTTCTGCAAATACATACTCATGCTGTCAGTAGTTCCTAAAACAAAATAATAATATTCATTTTACTCATACATATATCTATAAAAAGTAAAATCAAAAAAACTGGTCGTTTTAAGTGGTAAATTTAAGTAGTTTTTTTTCCATTTGCTGTATGCTAAGAGTATTTTAATTCAGAAATAAATTATCAAATCAATCACATAGAGGGCATGAGTTTTAATAACTTGAACACCAGTTTATTCTTAGATATACTACAACTCAGTTAGTTGTTCAGATCACTTTGCAGCAGTCGCTCATACTGAGTGAACAATGTGGCAACAGTGGAAATGTATGACTCTCTTCTGGAGGATGAAACCGCCAACCTTTACTGGGGTGTAATTTTTTTTTTTTTTTTCAGCTTAGAAACAGATATGATAATTGTGTAAAGATTTAAGTCACTGTTGCCCACTTGTTCTATACTAGGAGAGGATTTCTCTTCATTCTAACAGCCCTTAATTGATAATGAAACCATTTTAGTTTACCACCAATCCAGAATCTAATAGGATGATGTCAAATATTGTGCCACTCTCCCTGAGTTGCAACATGTCGAACATCAGTGCAGGTGACGCCATCTGCAGATGTTTACCTTCACGTGTTATTCAGTTTTTCAGGAATTCTGCTGATTGTGATTTGAACCTCCATCTTGTTTTTTCCCTGCTGTAGGTAACCCGATAGTCCTGCTCATCTCAAGTCAAAAAGAAAAGAACCCGGCAAAGTTATTTACTCAGCACAATGAACTCGTCAACCTTTGAGGATGTGCACTCAGATGGATTTCTATGTGGAACCAGCAATTGCTTGATCTTTCCAAGGACAGCTGGGAACTAGTGGCTGGAGAAACGGGACTCTAACACTGCTTGCCGTCGCGTTAAACATGGTTGACTTTCCTGGATCATCTACAGCAAAGGACTATGTTACCCACAATCCTTTCATGCTACGAAAAAAATGAACAAGTTCTATGACTTAAACATAGTTAGATAACAGTCAGATCATCTTTCCAGAAGCTCCTGTTGCTTATCTGACGTTTCTGGACAAGTTGTACTCCCCATACATTGTTGGAACAACGATAAAGAATCCTTTTAACAGAGCCCTTAAGTACAAAGCGTCACAAAAAAATGGCTATTAATCCATAATACTTGCCTCATGTAGTATTGGTGACATATTCAAATTTACGTGTGCCACATACAACCTGCTTAATGCTGTCAAAAAATAATCCTTGATCTCTTTTTTTTTCTTGTTTATTCTTTTCTTTTTCTACACTGTAACAATATTTTACCATGAGCGGGTTGTGGCTTACCACATGCCATTTTTTTAAACGCAGTTTGTCTTTTTTCTGCTTTTTATTTTTACAGAGGCGAGGTTAGACTAATACAAAACTAGATGTTATGGTATATTGAAACATGTAAACATATAAAAAAAAAACAGCAAAAGAGAAAGTATGGAATGAATGAAATTAATGGGGCTAGAAATAAATTGATGCTCTAATAATTTTAATATCTGTGTTTTTAAAAAAACGCCTGTTAACTGCTATTGAGTACATGTGTCAGTATTATATGAAATGAATAAAACCTTTCAAAAAAGGAGTATTTGTACTTTTGTTCCACCCTTACAGCGTCACATGGCTGCAGTTTCTTTTCAATAGATTAATCGCTGATGTCATTAGTGTTGAATAAATCTGTTTCTGCAGAAAACCTGAAGTTAAAAAGCTCATAATTACTAATTAAGCTGGTAATTACTTTATAGTTAACCTCATAAGTTTCATCATGTTGCTGCAAACAAGCTGAAATATTTCTTTCCTCAGGGGTTTATTGTGATGTGTTACTGAGAACTGATTTATCACCAACTTATTTTTAGTAGCTTGGAACCGGTCTGTTTAGAGATAAACTGTGCTCATAAGTTCAGATTTTTCTCAAACAGGTGAAGAAAAGAAACGTTTGCAGTGCATTCCCAAAAGACTAATTAGGCTGGCAAACATATCTTTTTTTGTTTTTGTTTTTTTTTTTTTGCTGGAGATTGTGACTGACTTTTCTTTTTTAAAGTAATACAGACAGCAAGTAGGGTATTTTCACAGTGACTAATAATTTGGTGCTGTTTTATGTTTGCCAGCATAATAGATGGAGCTGAATATATGAGTGGTTAAAGAGGTGTGGCCGGATTATTATTTAAACTATAAAACATACAGGTGAACCTCTTCAAATGTTATTCTTTTTCATTCATTTCAAATAAATACAGGGGACTGAACTGAACAGGATATGACAAGACATGATCTGAAGTAAAAATATAGATCACTATATGGGAAAAAAAGAATAAAGAAAATAAATATTTAGGAAGGGGAACACAGCAATATTCAGGAGAAATAGACCTCAAGCAAAGCAGTAATATGGCATAAATTATAAAGCATAAATAAATTACTAGATAGATAGATAGATAGATAGATAGATAGATAGATAGATAGATAGATAGATAGATAGATAGATAGATAGATAGATAGATAGATAGATCGATCACACCATCCTCCTTTCCACAGTATTGGAAAATGCCATGATAATAATAATTGCACTTTGCAACCACTTTAGGCCTTCAGACTCTAATAGTTATCGCCTTCACACTCCAGGCGATTTTCCTGAGGCTTTAAAACCTTTTTATATTTACATTGATAAGCTTATTGTAGCGTTAAAGCGAGAATACAAGCTTGCAAGCTGAGTTATTCAGTTGATTACAAACAATTCCTCAAATAATTTGGGTCCTCGATTGCAAAATAATCCTTGGGGCAAATTATTTGTTTCAAAGCTTTGTTACTGTTAATAATAAATACTGTCACACTATTCCGCTCACTGTGATCTAGCTGGAGGGTTATTTGTGTTGCACAACATCGCTTCTGGTAAAGCCTACACTGATAATGCTTGTATGCCAGCTGCTCCTTTTAGCTGTAAAGGGAGATAAAGAGTACCACAAAGAAGCGCCCAGAAAACAAAAGAAACGGTCAAATGTCGGAGCTTGACCATTTAAACTAAACCGAAAAGAGAACATATTGCAGTGCATGTACTGCAAAGTGTTATTCCACAGTAAAGTATCTTCGATGTTGCAGCACCTGAACAAAACTGAAATCTGTGATAATTTGATGTCACACATGTACAAGGTTATTTTTTTGGCTAAAGATAGATATAGACTGTTAGTAGCTACCTGGCCAGGTTATTGTCAAATAGAGATAAAAGCGTAGCAACATAAGTCTTTGTGTGAATTTTCACAGATCACACAAAGATCATTAGTATTGTGGTTAAAAAAAAAAAAAAAAAAAAAAAAAACACTAAATAGGGGACATGCAGGTGGGAATAAATAAATAAATAAAAGCCTGTATAGAAGAGACTGCTAAAACTACAGAACGAAAAATTTGCAAAAAGATTTTAACATCAGAGTACGACAGCTTCGGCATTAAAGCTTTCCTGTTAACTGCGCACAAGGTGTTTTTCAGGGTGCATATGAATCCAATCACGAGTCAGACATGTGAGTGTTGTTGAAATTCTTCCACGGCACCGCGAACAGTGTGCTACTCTCCGTGCTGAATGAAGCTACACAAAGTCGTTTACCACCAGTGCTGAAGCGAGGCATCAGGTGCAGCTCAGCCATAGAAGTCTAACAAATCTGTCATCAGCACTATTGCGGAGCATAAATTTAATCATCTCTGACAATCATCAAAAAAATCAACATGATGTTTAAATTACTCAGTGTGCTCTCTGGTTAGGGGTGATGAAACAGTCGCTGCTAACAACAGATGCCAGAGCAGATGTTGCATCCGGCAAAAGCCACAAGTTGCTACAGTATTTGGATCCCTTACAGAAAGAACAATGACCGGGGGAAGGCAATGAATCAAGAGCTGAATGACTTGCTGAACTATCCTTGTATCTTATGTAAGTCTTACAATCCCCCAGCCTGCAGCGATTGTTTGAGCAGACAATGACAGAGTTGGAAAAGCCCTGAAAGAAAACTTAGCGAGGAGTTCAAGTAGCTGCCTCAAAAAGCAGCAGCAAAGCAGTTGCAAAGAACGGAGTCTTCTTTTTTTTAACTACTGTTTTGCTGATGGTTTTTGCTTTACTTCTGCATTTTATTCACAAACAATTTAATGGATAAGGGAGCAATCCCATTAGGTCCTCTCTTCAGTCACAAGCACAGCATTGCAACTTTTTATTGTTGAACATAACAGAGGACTTAGATCTTGCCTTTTGAAGGCATTCCTCCTAGCTTCAAGGAAAACATCTAACTCAAGGATTTATGTCACAGTTCTTTCATTTCGACTGTCAGAAAACTGTTTCTAAATAAATAAAATAAATAAATATGCAGAATTAAAAAAACAAAAACATTTGAATGATACCTGTTTTGAGTTGATTCATATTGAGCCAACAGCTCAGCAGGTTAAAATTCCCCCAGGCTGTCAGCAGTACATTTTTCCATCCAGTCTGCATAACACAAACAACTCTAGTCGTTGAGAATACAATTTGCTCTGGCTGTAATTTGCCTACGTTTACATAACTACTGAAAGTCCTTTTTCCTGAGTGTATTCTCAATGTCTCATTTAATTGTGAACAAACTGTGTTAGCGCAGGGACACACTATTTCATCAATAAAGTAATCAGGCTTGCACACATTTTGCAATCGCAAATATCTTCATGAATTTGTCCCTGAATGCTCCGTTTGGGAGCTTCCTTTTAATGCTCCTATTAAAAGAGATGACCTGGCCAAAAGTAAGCACAACGAGCACAAAACTCATTATAAGAGTAACAATCATGGTGTATTTCTGTAATGGTATTGCTTGACACCTGTAACCTTTCACATCCTGCATTAGAAAAATTGGGCTAAATTGTAGGTGAAGTACAATTCATGCTTTAGTTTGTTTTAATAACATAAGTATCAGACATCAAAATGACCTATTCTTAAATTAACACTTCATGGTGTGTGAACTAACACTTTACCACTTTTGCCCAGATTAAAAAGGTGTGACCCCAATGTTCTCAACACATACCACTGCTTCTTATAAGTTTTGACAAGCTGTCAGCAAGCACTGTGCATGCCGAGGTGAATGAATCTTTATCCGTTAGGACTGACTAGCACGAGATCATACATTGTTATTGTGGGTTGACTAATATTATAGTGCTTATGTACGTCAGTCACAGGCTTATCAATCATGATATGGGATTTTCCAACATCTGTTTCTTCATCTGGTAATGAAGATATGAGAGACTTTCAAACTATTTAAATGCTTTTTTTCAACAAACTAGGAATGACAGCAATGTTTCATTGCGTGACTTATTTACCAAAAATGTTCAAAGCAAAATCCAGAGAATGCTAGGAATGCAGAGCAGTCCAGAGCCTTTTTACACAACAAATGTTCCCGTTTTGTGTGCGTCACAAGTATTGAGTTTCATTTTCTATTGACATTCATTTCCATGTAGGAATTAGGAGATGCAGAGATTGCCATCTACTTGTAGTCAATAAGAGCCATTTGGCTCTCAGATTAGTACAAGAAAACTAGAGAGCTATGTGAAATGGACCAGATGCATCCAAGCCTCACATCAACAAGTGTAATGCAAAGTGTCAGCTAAGGAGGTGTAAAGCATACTGCAACTGGACTCCAGAGCAGTACAGATCCTTCTCTGGAGTGATGAATAATTCCTCTCTGCCTGCATTAAAGTCTTGGTTCAAGAGCAACGCAGAGAGAATTACAATGGAATTGTTTTTCAGGACCTCAGTTTTTGTGAAAGGCACTGCACCACCTAACTCTGTCTGAACTGCTAGGAAATGGTCTCTTCAGATCCAACACGACTGTACAACAGTTCAGAAAGCAAGGTTCATAAGCTTGGGATTAAAAGAGCTTGACTGAACTACAAAGATCCCTGATCCGAACCAACAGAGCAACTTTACGATGGATCAGAGCAAACACTGGAAGCCAAGCATTTCGTTCAACATTAGTGTCTGACCTCACAAATGCTTTCTTAAAAGAACGGTCAAGTGTTCTCCTCCTAAACCTTATGTAGAGCCTTCCCAGAAAAGCTGAAGCTATAGTAGCTTCAAAGAAAGGCCCGGTCCAATATGAAGTAAGGATGATGTCATTAATGTTTATGTGTGCATAAGTGAAAACAGCCTGAATTTGAATTGTTAAATGTTGATATTGGTAAATATTGATTAAATTCAACTAACAACCACAAATAAAAATTTAACATTTTGACTGAAGCCATAAAGTCCTGATGTCCTTTAGAATATTTTGTGCTTTGCTACATCCTTTGCATACTGACATCTATGTAATGTCTGAAACCTTTCCTATTTCCTATTTCCAGCTTCCAGCTATGTATTAATACATCCAGGCATTGCACTTTGAAGGTATGTCATTTTGCTATGCTGATCCTGACATGAGAAGATGGAAAAACAGAGAGAAGGCAGCATAAAAAAAGAAATTAGAGAGGAGGCGCTTTTTGTGATGCTAACCCAAAGTAATGACCTAAAAATAATGTGGCAACTCAGAGAACAAAGCAGACTGGAGCAGGTTACAGATGAACTCAAAAGACCACAGTGACATATAACACTATGGACTG